TTAGTAAGAGTTGGCAGATAAAACTGATTTTTTATTTTATTTCAAAGAACCTGCCTACCGCTAGCGTTCTGCTTCCCTACACCGGAGCAAATGTTAGAGAATAATTGAAATATCTAGAAATCTTTTATATTAACATTTCAATCATTTGTTTTATTTCATAGGTTTTGATTATCCTTAAAGGAAATACTGGACTAAAATTTTCTTTTGACAGTACCAAGTTGAAAATTTCTACTGATTCATCGATAAGGAGGTATGCTCCATTGAGTCATATCACCCTAAGCAAAGAGTGTAATTTTTGCCTTTTTTTATTGGCAGCTTCAGATTCGAATTTGCAGTCTTTCCTCCTGATCGCAAGCTATATTTTTGCGTTTTGCAAATTTCCTCAAAACTTTTTTAAAATAACCCTTTTTTAATTCATATATTTTAATATTTAATTTATGTTTCAATCTATTAGATTAAACCATTCGAACAAATGCTTACCCTTCTCATACATATTTTCGCATTAAGCATTTCAGTCCTGAATGACTGACGGATCAACCCATAGCTTAAACCACTGATCATAGAGACGTGAAACTTGAAGGTTGTGCTAAGAGTCGACCTCTGATTTAAAACGATTTTACAAGAAGTGAACCTGGCCTGATTCACTTAATATCTGGAATTATATAGCCCTTCGTAAGTAGCTGGGACCGATCTTTTAAAAACTAATTGGGGTTTTGGTTCGAATTAATTAACATTTGGAACATAGATTATAGCTCTTTTCCTTTGTTTTTGTTGTTCGATTCTTCCAAATATCAGGATTGTTATGTTTTATGAGGCGCTTACGCTCAGAACCAAATTGAAGTCACGTTTTTTTTCAAATCTTTACGCTTCATTACTTTCCATTGAATTTCAAATAAAAAAAAACGATATTAAAGTCCGCTTTCTTATTTGAAGAGTTTTAGTTCAAAACCGTAAAGTAATATCAAAGTACAAATTTAAGTATTTATTGAGTTCAAATAAATGTAGTCATGTATACATATATATGTATGTATGTATGTATATATGCATGCTAGCATGGGAATGATATAACTTTGTTTTGAGAATTTAATAGGAAAAACGTAAATTACACCATTATTCAACTCATTACTATTATATTTATTTATCGAAAAACAGCCTTATATATGTACATATGTATGTAATATTGCATGTTAGTTTTGAATTTAGACCTAATAGCGAATGACTTATGGCGTGATCGACTATTTGCTAGTTAAAATTAACTGTTTTAGTTACAAAGCATTAGCTGACTCGACGGTAACACACACATACTTATAAACTGTTTAAAATATTATATTAATAACAGCCGATTGCAAAAACTAATTATTTCTGGGAAAACTATTTATTTTTTTACGCCGTCTTTAGCATTGTGCGTGAGTACATTTGGCCATGAGAGGGTTAAACATAAACGCTGCTTTAATATAAACTCATATCTTTATCTAATTGTGGTTTTTATATGCGTGAAATGCCGACTTACCGCATAAACAGAAATACATATATACGCTTACACATACATATTAAATTAGTTGAATTGCTGAGTGGCCTAAAAGTTCAATGTACAAATATTATAATTTTATTGCATCAAGATAATTCTATTAGACATACTTGTTTTATATGGTTTTGAATTCAATAATACGAGCAACGGAAATTATATTTGAAATATTCATCTACTCGTATATCTGTACATACTATATCTATGTAAGTATTGGGTGAAGTAAAAAAGAAATCCCTTATTTTTGCGTAAAATTGAATGGTTTAATTTTTTCTTTTCGTATCCAGCCTTTTTCAATTGGTTTCAAACGGCTTTTGAGCAATCTCTAGCTCTTGGGCAACCGAAACAGCGCTTACATGACGGTCGAACTCGATAATGTCCATGATTTTACCGCCGTTTTCTAAAAAACTGTAAAATATAGCGTACTTTCTCTTTGCTAGTGTCCATCTTTGACGTACGCTCAAACAAAACCGAATTAACAAACTACAAAACTGTCAGAAAAGCTTTTTTAGTACGAAATGTCATCTTTCTAACGCCATCTGGCGGAGTCCGATCGGACTAATACAACGTGAAGAAATATTGTGTACCTTTTATTGACGGTAATGCTATTTAACATATTAAATCCCTGTCTTATGTCCGGATCAGTTTCATAAACCACAGGGATAACTACATACCATAATTACAGGAGAACGGCTTGACTTTGCAATACAGTTTTTTTCGCTTCTCCTTCAATTGGTGATGTTCGTTTTGATGCTTTTCCAACAAGTGTATGGACCTACAGTATCTAAGCCGCCCTTGCAGGGAAGATGAATTTTTATTGGGAGCTCATCACTTCATTTCGGAAATCTCCGCCAACGGCCAGCGTAATAAGTACAAAATTTTCTAAAATTATGCACTGTTTAAATTTTTATTTCACTAGGTGGCGCCATAGTCAAATTATTACCAAATCCGTAATTGTTTGAATTTGAAATATATAAATATAATATGTGCACATGTTTTATGTTGTTGGAATCGCCAAAACTTTTGCGAGTGTGGTGTACGAATCAAGTTGTTAAAAGTTAGTTGGATTTGTGGCTCGAAAATTATCTGTGGAACTGTTCCTGCGGCAGTCGACCTGCGATGAGTTTCGATCTCTTAATTTGATTGTATATAAAGTATAGATATGTAATGTGCGAAAAAATAGCAAAAAAGACCTGTCTTCGGCTATACCGAAGTCTTTATACCTTTCATGATCATCTCAAATTTATGGTATTTAATTTGATTGTAGGTTGAAAATTAATTCTCATATCAGGAAAATTGGTTGGGGGGTTATATAACGAAGTTGTCCGATTTCAATCAGTTTCGGTGACAATATTTATTTGGATATCCGTATGCAGAACAGCGAATTTCATGCTTTCGGTTGCTTTTTTGAGAGATTTTTGATCCAAAACTTCATATCCGAACAAATTGTCGAGTTTCGGTGACAATGTTTATTTGCAGACACGAATATATAACACCAAAACTCACGCCCAAATGTGCTTTTTTTGACGGATTAAAATCGTTCAAATGTAAAAAAATACATCTCTTTCAATTTTAGGTGAAATTCTCAAAAACTGAGCCAGTAGCTTGCGCACAAATAGACAAGCTGATAATATACATATGTATGTACATATATATAACTAAATCATCTGAGATTCTCATTCTGATCCGTTCGGTTTACATTTTTTTGGTTCTGTCCCTTCCACTTCTGCCACTAAGGCACATCCAAAATTAAATAACATTTCAGGTACATGAAAGACATAAAAATCTTGCCAAATGTATGTATATATTTTTTGTTTGTAAGCAACTTTCACCACTCCACCAACAACAAAAGCCGGTAAGAAATTGTATACGCAATATTTTCGCATGCGGTGATTGAATGAAATGGATCAAAGCATTAAGCACAAACATATATGTACATATGTACATACGTACATGTACATATATATGTAATATAAATTTTCGGTATTATTTTTCATAAGTAATGCCTTCATATACACATATGTATATTATTTGTATAAAAAGGCAAATTTTAATTATCTTTTTTTTTTTAATTTCAATTTCTATTTTAAATTTTTGCAAATTTCGCCTGCGGTTGTGAAAGCAAATGTCCAATAATCTGCATTAACACTAAACTACCGCTAATTTTTTAAGTCTTCTCTTTGTGGCTACTTCTCAAAACACATGGCATTGACACAATACAATTATCGCCTGATTATTTATGATTTGTTTATTTGTTATTAGCATTGTTTTCTTTCAAATTTATTAATTTTCCAGTTAGGTGATTTCTACATTTCAGCAACTACATATTTACATAGGTGTTTGTATCTGAGAGAGTGAATGTCTACAAAATTTGTTCATTTCCCGCCGAATCATCTGTTTCATAACGTACAAAATGCCGCCCGCTGATGAACACAACTGAGAGACAGCACTGAATAAAGCACATAAAAAGAATACTGCAACATTGTTGTGGTCAAGCGCACATACGATTGTACATACATATGTATGTACAGACATACTAGCGAAGACAAGCTTGTTCAGCAGCAAAAGTCGTTTTGACAAAATAAAAATAAAAAGCTTGAGACGGTAACGAATTATTATGTATGTATGCCTAGGTGTCTCTCACACCAAACACAACTATTGTATAATAAAGACAGCAAGCAAATTACAAAAATTAATAACAGTACAACTTTTTAGCGCACACAGAATGACCCTCGAAGGTGATCTGGGATTTTAAGAACTGTATATAAAATTTGAAATAGTTTTCTATTGTTGAAATACCATGTATATAGCATGTCGATGTATATAATAACCAAAGAGCGTGAGAGAGAGATAACGAGAGAAGAACCTTCAATATGCAACTAGGCAACACAAATAAACAAATAAAAAATAAATACTAAATAACACTAACGACCAAGCCAAGCAAAGCCGTTGAATCAGTATCAAAGTCCATTTGGCGTTGGGTCCAACAGGCTAAGAAAAGCAAAAAAAAAAAAAAATCAACACGTAAACACGAAAAATACTAAGTAAAAAATAATAAAATGTAGACATTAGGGAATAAAAAGATGTGGATGGGATGGACTGGGGCAGCAGTGATCGGGCGGTTCAGCGGCGTTTTTTTCTGGTCACTTCTGCTGGGAAGTGTTTACCGCCTCCATGAGATTTACGCTTAGTTGTCGTTCTTCTAAACTTGTGATTTAACAATTGATGTAAATGTGGGCAATTTGTATGGTTGCTTGTTGATGTGCAGCTAAAAGTTTTCTTCCTTTGTTCATAATTGAATATACATATTTTGCTGAGGAAATTGCAGAAATGTACTAAATGACTTTTTTGCAGTTGAAAGGAGTTGCACATTTGATAAGTGTTGTGTAATATATTTATTTGAAGTTTTGTGCGGTTTTCCATCGTCGAACGAAATCGAGATAAATAACTTAATACAGAAAAAGTGGTGTTTTACCTTTTTTAAATACGATATAAATAGTTTTTGCTGTTTTTTCACTCTGTTTTATTTCAAAAACAAAATTAGTTCACACTTTTCAGATTTATTATTACACCAAAGTAGTAATTAATTGTATAAATTTGCTAATAATTGCTTTATAGATAATTTTTGCAAAACAAATTCACTTGGAAAGAAAATCACTTCTTATTTATTTCTTTGCAGCTTTGGTCCATAAACTATTTTCCAACATTTTATTAAACAGGAATTTCACAATTGAACGATTTCCGTTCTTGTTTTTATAAGAGTTAGTATTTTCTTTGTATCTATTTCTTTTATTTTCCGCTTTGCAGGCCTTACTTTCCTGTAGTTGCTCCGACAAGTGCGATTTGTAGACTGAAACTTGCGTCTGCCAACGTCAGGGCATATAATCTACCTACCAGCCAACGAACCAAACAACACCAGTCAGCTAGATAGTCAACCACACACACACACACACACATCACATCAATAAATACAGAGAACAGAACGATAATCAAATTAACTACACAAAAAACACATTTGTATATACTGAATCGCTCTCAACGGCTGAAAAACATTTCTCAGTTGGGTTTTGTAGTGTACTTTTTAGTGTGGGCGAAGGGGCAAAAGTGGCAGGGTGACAGCGGAAGTTTATACATATATTACCGTAATATATAGCGTGAAAATGAGCAAACTAAGAGAAGTTTCCAAAGCTGTTTTCCTCTTATGCGCTTCACGCTCCGTATTGCAAAATTCTCACGAACGATTTGGTCTTAGTAAAACGCGATCGAAGAGCTTTGGAGCAAAATTCACTCTTAAAGCTAACGATATTCACACACGCATACACATTCACCTAAGTGCATATGCATTTGCAATTTTGATGTCATAGCGAAATACGAGTGTGAAGAAAAGAAATAAAATAAAAAAAAGAAACGAAAAAATACTGTGGTGAAGTGACTCGCTCAAAATTTTTATTAAATTTATTAATTAAATAATCACTATAATAAATCAGTGCCAAGCTTGTGGATAATTTTTTACAATCAAATAGTTGACACTAAGCGGCGATTGATAATTATAAGTACAATTGAAGCTTGTAAAGCATGAGCATCTTCACAGCAAATTCCTTTAGGGGCCGAAACATCAAATTTATGTCATAGCAATCCGATCTGAGCGGGTCCGACAAGTGATGGTTTAAATGTACATTGCAACTGTGTACCAAGTTTGATTGAAATATCTTAAAACTGGGGGACAGACGGACATGGTTAAATCAAGTCAACTCGTCGATTTGGTTTAATCCGTAAAAATTTTGATGGGCCCATTTCTTCTCTTTCTGGCATTTAAATACATACATATGTACTTCGGACCATAATTAATATATTTATAATATAACTTTATGTACATATGTGAAAGGTAAAAAAGTGACATTCGCACGGGACAAAAAGTGGTAATAAACTAAATGTCTAATGGCTTCATTTAACGAAAGTTTAAAAGATGAAATGGTTTTATTTGCACTAACCAAACCAGATCAGCTAAAATAAAATCTCTAAATATTACTTCGTAGAAGAGAAATAATGAGAGAATGACTGCCATTGATTAAGTTTATTCAGCTCTTAATATATTTTACGGCTTAAATATATTTTATAGATTAATAATTTATTGAGATAAACTATTATAATGTTATATATTTTAAAATATATGTATTTCATTTTTTCTCAGGCTTTATTTTAATTTGAGCAGTAGTACGATAAGAAGTGCCGTGTGAGAACCACGGCGAAATGCAACACCTACAACTGAAGAACACGAAGAACGCTGCAGTCTGCCGCAAGACAAAATATGCAGGAACACCACATGAAAAATAGACAGGAAGAGACACCTTTTGCGACGAGAGCATGAGGAACATGTACATAGGAAATCGCAATAATACTAGGTTCTAAAAAGAAGTGTTCAAATTTCCGCATTTGCTGACGATATTGATATCATTAGACTTGGCAAATGCGATGTAACTGCTGCATTTTTTCCAATTGAAAAGGAATCGGTGAAATGGGTCTAGCGGTAAACAAAGGCAACAAGCAAACTTTCCAATAGATATTACTATGGCTACAGTAAGTAATAGAGCCTTCTCGCCACCGACGAAAATATGTAAACCATGAGCTGTAAAACCCATCCCTCTGGTAGCGATGTTATCCAGGACATCATAATACCACATTTGAGTTGATTCGTACGTATGTATGGACGAAGATGCCGATAGAGGACTTCGAAGAATGATTTAGATTTCATTCGATGTCACAAAGGAGATTGTCACTGTTAACTAGGAGCGTTATGATCGTGTGATAACCCACTTTTCAAAAACCTGCAATTGGTTTCAACAAGGTATTGACACATCACACACTATACAAGCGAATATGGTTTCATTGCGAGAGAAATCTCTCGTCTTGGCGTTATGATCTAGCCACTGAGAACGTGCGTTATGACAGCTTTGGACCGCTGTTTATGCGAATAAACCTTCAATTATTCAGCAATTTATGGCTGAGATACCGCCCAAAAGTGGTCGAAAATACACTTAAAATGGATCGAAAGTCGCTAAAATCCCTGAGCCGTCATTTGAATGACGTAGTGTTTCGCACATAAGGCCAAGGCTAAAATTTTATAATACAAAAAGAAACTTCATAAAAAGATTATTTGTAATGCATTTTATTTACGTTTATTTTCCAAGCCGAAAAATGGATAGCCCTGTATTTTCAGTCTATTATACGGGCTTAAACCGAATTGTGTTCCCTATTATCGTGATCAGGAATTAGCCTATATTTTTTGCAGCTGATGGTGATCTATGAATGTATTCCGATCAAGGGGACGATGTAGTCCACCATTCAAAGTGATTTTAGGCAGGGAGAGTCGGCTAGTACAAGACGGCACCATTCGGTTCCAATGTTGCGCGCTTTTTTGTAATGATACATATACATATATGTATGTATGCATGTATTTAGAACATTTCATAATTAGCAAACTACTGTCTAATATAGAAATATATGGAATTTGCCGTTACGCAAAAAAGTCTACGAAACTCATCCGCCAACGAAAAATGAAATAAAAGAAAAGTGTAGCTCCATTCATTGCATGAATTTAACATAAATTAGTCACGCGAAAACATTGTACAAATGCACTTGTAGACATCAATGAACTGAACTTGGCGAGGAAATGCCCGGCCATGCCAACGCCTACGTCTGAAAATTTTGCAGCAAATTTGGATGAACGCCAGAAAAACAAGGCAATTATTAAACAAAAAAAAATATAAAAAAATATTGAAATTTTCAAAAGAAAAAAAATAAAACAAATACAAAGTGCGCATAGCACGTGGTATACGAAGGAAAGGAAAATAATAAACTTACCATTAAAACCGAATTCAAAACAAAACGGAAAACAAGTTTGCAAATAAATTTAAACAAAAGGAAAAATCTCGATATATGTATATATAAATATTGCATTTGCTGTTTTACTTTTATTTTTACACTATGCCTTTTCAAGCAGGTCTTCATCATCAATTCTTCTTGTAAATATGCGCCTTTATAAACTATTTATTTATTTATTTATTTATTAAGTAATAAAGTATTAATTAACAGATACATATGTATGTATATATTTAGTTGAATAAAATAATATATACGTTCATTCACGCATGTACATATGCATGTGTAAATGTATACAAATTGGCAATGACAATTTACTAGTACGCAAGAGAAATAATTGCCTTTTGTGCTCCAAGACAGTACATTAATTTTCAATTTCTAATATTAAACAAAAATATCAATAATTATATTATGTATATATGTATGTATGTAGGTATAACTAACGAAATGCGCATTTATTACATTTTAAAATAAATACATTGATATGCCACCGGTGTTTCGAAATAGTGAAAATAACCACAATTTTCTTTTCAACAATACTCATTTTCAATTTAACTCATTTCTTTCAACTTCATGTCTACGACGCCGCTTTTACTCTACTCTACTCCGGCACACTCGTTACGCCTCGTGAAAATCGAGCAGTTCACACATACACACATACATATGCATGTAGGCACTTTTTTAGTTCTTCGCCGTCTTCCGGCGTCTGGCATCTGTTACAGCACCCCACAGTTCGATAATAAAATCATCTGTAAATCCGAACGATTCCAGATCGGAATTATCAATAGCCTCCGCAAAGTCCATGGAATTGGATTTATTGGCACCCAAATCCCATATTTGTGTCGCCAGTTCGGTGTCATTTATGCCCATAAACGATTCCAACAAATTGTTGATCGCCTCAATGCCCGATTGCGTCGATTCATCAAATTTATCCTCGATCTCCACATTGCCGTTCGCCTTAAATCGCAACGTCTCCTTGCCACTGCCATAGCCACGTCCCGACGGCGCTCTCGATTGTGTACGCGGGCCGATACCTTGAAAGCCGCTCTTCATCGGCTCCACGAGACGCAGTGTGAATGTGGTGCCTGTGGGTATATCCTTTAGCAGGCGCGCCACCTCATAGTGCCGCTTACCTACCATAGTTACATCGTTCAGCTTTTCAATGTGATCGCCGACGCTAATGTGTTCGATCCGATCAATCACCGAACCTTCCTTGATACGCTTTATAAAGGCATAACCCGCGCCATTGTCTGTTATAGTAAGGCCCAGCGCATCTTCTGATTTGATAATCTCAATCTCTTTCGGTCGACCCTTTCGATGTGCGAATATGAAATCGTCCAAACCAATCTGACCGCCCAACAGTTTGGTCATATCGACTTTGTGTGAATTCAGAGTGCAGAAAAGTATTTCTTCAACAGGTATATCATAGCATTCGGCGATCTTTTTATAGAGTTCACGTACACTCGCAAAACCGGTTATCAAACCCGTTGGACTGCCATGCGCCAGCTGACAGTGGAATATCAATTGTGGTTTCGGTATATATGGATCGATGCGCGAGCTCGCGTTGGTACCATTCATTGTCGTGGTTTTGCCGTTGCTTGACGAGGTGTTGTTGTTATCGTTATATGTTGAGCTACCACCGGCGACAGTGGAAGCGGCATTAGTCGCTGGATCGGAGTCTGTTCTACCGAATTTTGGTGCTTTTTTCGAAAATAGCGGCATAGTGTTGTGTCACCGAAATGGCTAATGGCTAATGGCTCTGACGGCGCACGTTGGGATGAACTATGGACTCTTTTGTATCTGTTTTTTGTGGAAAGAGAATTTACAAATGTTTTAGCATGATTTTTCATCGCATTTTGCATGACAAGTGTTAGATTGTTAATAACTTCACCTTCAACGACTATGAGAATACTACAATAAGTGGTTCATGGTTTTGCGGGTTAGTTGCTGTGTTGGATGAAAAATTGGCGATAAAAATGTGGTTTATATTTATGAAGAGAAAATGTTATATAGGAAGCCTGGGACCCGAGTGTAATCTTAACTTTTGATATCTACCTTTTTTCGCAATGTTCTTTTCAACATTTTTTTTTTATTTTGTCTTTGCTTTCTTTGGTGTGCCCGCTTGCGTACTCATACTATAGACATATCTTCAATAATGTTTGAAGATCATAGAATGCTACATAAAGCTTACACTCAATGACAGTACGGGCTCACGATGTCAGCACTATACGATTCCAGAGAAACGAATCGCCTTTATTTTTCGATGGAGTGGCACAAAGTGTTTATTTGTATGGTAAGATAAGAAATATAAATTATCTTCAATCATTATATATATGCTAGATCCGTTCCACGAAAAACGAGATTGCTTAAAAGCAGCGATTTCTGGTACAATTTAGTAGTTTTCGCAATTTCGCTTAATTTATATACCTTTCACACATGGAGGGTACAAATTAATTCGGTTCGTTCTCAAAATATGGTTCCACGTGTAAGTTGTGGCCGATCTTAGTAGCGTTTAGCTATTTCATTGGATCATCTGTCCACAATAATTGGTGCGCATCAGCGGTTGTTTCCTCTTCGGAAGAGCGTCTTAGTTGGACCAGACACTTGTGGTGTACTATGAGCAGCTAAAATCAGGTGGAACTATTAATGGAAAACGGTTACGGAGCTGTGCATTGTGTGAAAAATCGCCAGAAACGACCAAAATGCATAACAAAGTTGATTCTGCAACATGACAACGCTCGGCCCCATGTGACTGTAAATTATATTGAAAAGCTGAAATGGGAGGTGTCATAACATCCGCCGTTTGGTCCAGCTGACTACTGGCTTTGATCCACCTGACGAATGGCTCAATGATTGGATAAAATACAGAGAGGACTCATTTTTAAGAAATGCTATTAGAAAACTCATGGAGAGATTGGAAAAGTAGTCCGACGGACAATGATTAATGTTTTATTTTTTTCAAGGAAAAAACCCTTTTTCGTACACAAAAAAGCGGACTGATTTTTTTTGTACTTCTATAACATTAAATGGTATATTAACAATCGAATTCACAGTATGTAAATACCATAAGAAGAGGTATACCCAACAAAATTCAAACCGATTTGATCAGAACGACGAGTTGAGCAATATATGTAAACATATATACAACGCCGCCAACTTGTAATGTCCGTCTTAATGTTTTTCCACCTCCAAACGGCTGATCAGACATACACACGAAGGACTCGACACTTCCAGCAGAGGGGTGGCCGCAATTAAAAAATTCAATATCTGTAATTTTCGAAGTTTGATCAGACCAGGACTCGAACGCTGGCCTTCCAAATGTTAGCGCGTAGTGTTGACCATTCGGCTATTGCGAAATGTTAGTATTAGAAAATTTTCATAAATATAAACCAATATCATCTGAATGATGTGAGTTAAAAAAATCAATGTATTAATTATGAATAATTTAAAACTACCCAAAACCGTTTTTTAACACACTTCTTCATTTTTGGTAGCACAAAACACTTTAATAGACTTTTTTTTTAAATCAGTATCAATATGCGTGAGCGTTGTATTTACAAATGTTGTTACATATGAATTATGATTTGTTTATTTCTTTCTTTCGTCACCAAAACTACGTGTGCGCAAATATGTGCATACATACATATAATATAATATTTTTTAATAAGTGAGGTTAACTTGATATACAGTAGCAACATATGATTCATCGTTTACAAGTACTGATTGAAATACCTTTTTAAAAGACACCGTTAATTAATTATTTTTTGCTTATTAAGTTTTAAGATGCACGGTTAGAGAGCTAAAATATTGCTTTTAATTAATTTAAAGTATTAAAAATAAAATATCTTAAAACAATTACACGCTAAGCTGAACGTAAAGCTGAACGTACAACTGCCTCGCGAAAAACGGTACTTCTGGCAGACATTCAAAACTATTGAAAAATGCTTTTTGAGCGTTTTTTATTCAACTTCTTATCTTGAAATGCGTACAATTTACGATAAGATTCCGTCGAGCATGGGTGCAATAAGAAACGCAAAGATAAGCAGCGCACCCAATTCTCACTCATTGCCTTCCAGGCAGTCTGTTTGACTGGAGCAGGAGTATGTGAGAATACCCCATTTGAGAGCATGAGAGCGTTTAAGTAAGCATTTCCAGTTATTTTATTGTGGCTTCAACAAAGGCGTGATAATGATATTCGTTTTCGCTAGTGGGAGCAGTTGATAACAATTCCCGATCGTAAACGGAAGATTGGGAAGAGAGTACGCTCGAGCGGGTTATACTCAGATAAAGTACAAATCTCAATGAGTGGAAATCGATTGTTTGTATAAATTACATTTTAGAGATATTTTCTTCTAAAGTTTTTTTTTATATATAAATACATAAAATTACACTCCTCGAATAGCAATTACTCTTCTGAAAAACAACAAAGCGGCGAAGCCTAATATGGTCAGATGAAAACATTAACAACAACATAAATCTTGAAGTCTACTTGTCAACAGGTGCCAATTAAAAAAAGTGTCATCTTTCGACTGGTGCAGAAGCAGAGATGATAACGACATCCAATTAGGCGGCTTTAGAAATTTTCATATTTGGCATATAAGCGCCGGCGAATGCCTTGGGCAGCGAAACGATGGGCTGTACGAAATTAATGGCGAATAAAAACAGACAATTACACCGGATAGGTCATACTGTCCGGATACATGAAAGCACACTAGCGCTGTTAGGTGGTATTCCTAGGCGAAAATAGAGCAAGAAGAAAATAGCTATAATCGCATAAACGCTGACCACGATCACTTCACCGTTAGTGATATACACAGAATAATACTCTGAAATTCAAATAATCAAGTAATAAACCATAAAAAGTATATTAGAGTTCTCTTTTAAACGAGAGCAACTGATTTGTGCAATTACAATATTTTTTCAAAAATCCTTTGAACACATTTTACTAAATTCGTTTAACGTTGTTACAAAATATGTTTTCCAAAAAGAAATCCTTACAAAAGTGAGTGTCTTTTCGGCTTAAAAATATTGCCCTGGAACTCTTTTAAAAAAATTTTGTAATTATTGCTCAAAACTTTCTATAATTTCGTATTTGGATTTTTATAACACAAAAAATTTTAATTTTTATACAAAAACAAAATGTTATTAGTCAGCTTGACAGTTTTTATTTCATTTTTTATGGTAAAGATTGTTGTATACAGCTTTTTTTATAACAGAAATCGGTGTTGCCACCGATCAAAATAAATATATAAAATACAAATTTCAAACCAAGAGCAGCTAAGGGGATTGAAAGCAAAAAATATATTAAACACAAAATAGGTTAAACTAAGATTTAAAAATTTGGTATAAAACTACAAAAAATTATATTTACAAATCCTACAAATTTGTTACCATAAAAATGGTTCGGTTTGCACGACGCATAACGCAGTCTTATATATTCGTTCGACATAACAGTCGAACAGAGTCGGTTTTGCCCCACAGGTAATCTAGTGGATAATGCGCATTCCCAGAGACCTCGAACAGTGCGCAGCGAATACGCTATTGCTGCTGTGGAGCAGAGTATCGAAGAAGACCCGAACGAGTCTATTCGTCATCGGGCGCAATAATTGAAGATTTAACGTAAGAATCTTGGTTTGCGGGCTTACAAAATTCAGCTCGTACAAGAATTGAAGCCGAACGATCATCAAGCGCTTCGAACGTTCGGTGTATAGGCCACCGATCCTGGTTTTCACGTTAATAAACAGAATTGTATCTTTTAGGGTGAAGATGAGCTACAGCTGAGACGCCATTACATCCGCCAAAGTCACAGTTTGGTGTGATCTATACGTGTGGCAGAGAGAATCATTGGCCAATATGTCTTCGAAACTGAAGCCGACCAAAATGTAACAGTCTATTGGGGACCCTTTAGCACCATGATTAATAACTTTTTCGTGACTGAATTAGAGGTTGTTGATATGGACATGGCAGAAAGACAATGAAACAATCCATGGCGTGGCTTCCAAGGTCATACGATTTAACACCGCTGGATAATTTTTTGTGAGGTTATGTGAAGTCGCTTGTTCAGGCTGATTAGTCTCGAGCGTTTTATTTTTTGTTGAAAACCACATGTGTAAAAAACACCCTTTATGTGAATGACCTGAAAAAGATCGAGCCTCTCTTTTGATGCTTTCATGAAAACAACTACATATAACAATAAACGCAATCAAAACAGATACAAAACCACATACATACATAAATTAATGCCACGAGCCGTTGGCAAAAAAACAACATATTCAAGGTCATTTACTGTAAGATTACCAATACTGACGCAAAGTAGTGCAAAAACTAACAGAATCGTAAATAGGTTATAGATACATCTACACAAAAGACATATAAAAACATATATACAGCTGATATACATATTATTTATGTAGATACATACATATGTATATACTGTATAAGAAAAAAGACTTTCTTGCTTTGATAATAAATATCGTAGATATGTATGTATGTATGTAGGTAAAAATATTAATAAAATAAAAAGCGTATTTAATTAAAATGTATTGTTTTTCGCACAGATATGTGAGTAGTTAGCGGTTAAAATAACAACAATATTTTCATTAAAAACCTGTTAAGCGCAACGCAAGCAAAGTTTTTTCAACTCTACTCAATGACATGCGGAAGAATAAGAAATTAATTTTTACTTAAAAATAAAAAAATAGAAGGAATGAACCAAAATTCAGAAAATACGTTTTTCCTTTTGAAAATTATTAAATTTCTTAATCTTATGTATTTCGCTATCATTAATTTTTGAAAATTATTTTTTTAATAATTTTTAAGCTTATCTCACTCATCACGAAAGAGAGGATACTTCAATAAAATTTTGTCTAATCATGTTATTAGCACCTTTTTAACAATAGGTTTTGCTTTCAATGCAATTTGTTTAAACACAATATTTCCAGATCTGTACTATGTGTACATGAGTGTTAAAACGAGTTTGCATATTTATATGTTTTCACTAAATTTATATGTATGTGCGTATGTTGACACACCTATTTCGTATAAAATAATTAAAACGCTCTAATTAATTAACCTTTTTATAGCCCACGTAACACGTTCTACATTAAAATGAAACATACATACATACACTAATTAGATGTATGTATGTACATATATATGGTCGTATGTTATACCTTCAGGGACAGAATACCTAAATGCGTAGAATTTCATTGTTTTTTTTTTAATGTTTTGCTTAGGTAAGAATGTAGCCTCGTTTTTTCCCCACTGGGTGGTTCATAAGTCAAGCCATTCAGAAACCATCTCCACTTTATGAACCGATTTTGATGGCAGTCAAAGAAAGAGCATACGAAATGTGTTTCTCTTTTCCTAAATAATTTCAAATTAGAATTTCTGTCAATGTTTTTAACTTGTTTTAACTGCAAGATGATTCGTGAGCTTCAATTAGTACATAAAAAACGAGAAAGAAGAGCTGTCTTCGGATATGCCGAAGTCTTTATATCTGTCATATTATAACATTTTATTTTTAGTGTTAAGTATTAATTCTCATATCTGAAGAAATCGGTTGTATGGTGGCTTTGTGACAATATTTATTTATAGATACGAATGGAGATTTTCCAATTCAATGCTCTTTTGACGAAGTTTGGACAAAAGCCTCATTTCTAAACAAATCAGTGAATGTTATTATCTTGCAATCTCGATAATTTTCATAGTTTTTTTCGATAAATTTATGACCCAAGATATTAAATCTGAAAAATCGTATATACGTATGGTATAGGGATCCGATTTAGCCGTTACCGACAAATGATCGTTCAAATGTAGCAATGCAATGCAATGTGCCCCAAGTAAGGTTGAAATATCTCAAAAACTAGTAGCTCAGTAAGTACAAACAGACGGACAGATTGATAGTCGGTTGAATCCACGCCACTCGTCATTCTGATCCGATTGGTAAACATTTTTTTTTTGGTACGTACCTACACGCTTCGGACAAAATCTAATATATCATGTATATGAAAGGTATAATTAGTACTGCAGGCTGCAAAAACCAAGCGAAAGGTTATGAGCTCGAGCTCTGGTCAGAACAACACTCACAAAAAAGTATTTTCATTGCAGTCACCTTTCGCTAGGGATTGTGAGGTCCTCTGAGTATATATCTGATAAGAAAAAATCTTGTCATAAACACTTATCGGAGGCGGCTTATAACAAACTATTGATTCCTCCATTAAAAAAAAAAAAAACAGATCAAAACGTATGGCACAAACTGGAGGAAAAACTTGGCCGAAAAACACTTTAAAAGAGCGCCCATTATATATGTGTGTATATATAATTTGAATTTAATATTGACTTTTAGCAACTTTCTCTTCATCACTTTTCATAACTCTCTTCTTTTCTTCAATTGAATATCATGCATTAGTCGCTTCTTAGAATGATTTTGGGTTCCGTTTATCTAGAAGTCGTTGCTGACTTTCTCATAGAAATGTCATGTAGCCACTACGGAGCTTTCGTAAATTTGCTAAGAGAGTGTTCTAACTGCCCCGTCAGCTTCTGCTATATGTGCGGAGAACTAATTTCACAACAACGAAATTTCACATCACTCATTGAACAGTGTTATTTAGACTAATTTGGATTTCCTGATATGTCTTAGTTCTTCTTCTATATACCTCTATCAGGTTGGGTTAAAGGGCAACCTTGACATTTGCTATGCCAATATACCTTCGCCAAAACCTCCAAATCGGTCAGAAATAATAAATGAACTTAAACTTTGTTGTTATTTCTAGTTTCAAGAGACAAGCCGGGGCGTATAAGTGACTTTTTAACATAATTTAAAAAAAAAATCGTATACTTTAAACCGCTAGGTGGCTCATGAGTCGAGTTCAAAACAATTATATGCCTATTTCGAAACCTTGTATTAATTCAAACTCGAGTTTTCTTCACTGTTAGTTATTGAAATTAAATTACGCAATTAGAAATCTCGCACTTTTTGTGGAATTTAATGACTATTCATTTCATGGAATCATAAAGCATTCAGTGTCTTCTCACTGTTTTTATTGCATATATGCAAGAATTCAAGTGCTTATCGTTTGCAATGGAGTTTACCAACTCATGGTCCAGATCAGATATCTGAGTGTCTGATCTGTTCGCGTCTTAAGGCGTTGGGTAAAAGTGCTCGATTTGAATACATTTCTCAGTCTTCCCCTACCCGCTTAGACAATTATACAGTTGATAGGAATTTAAACAGTTAACTATAGGGAGTTTATGTTATTTTGCAGTTGATAAAGAATATGTAAGTAAATAAGTATTGTATATACATATGTATGTACCTAGCTAAGATTTTTAAAATGTTATTATACTAAAAAAATAAAAAACTTAAACTTTTGCCCATAATTTTTTCTATTTATTAAGTTTTCAACTTAACAAAACACACGATCTAACTAAACAACTTCTCTCGTGGAAAAAACTGAATTAAATATGTAAACAACAACACAACCAGATTAGCGTACATATGCACAAGTGGGGGTGTGTTGAGGCGAAATTTTGTTTACAACACTCCGTCAAATGTGATCAAAACAAGTCAATATGCATACACACATACTTATCCAAATACATACATACATATCCACATGTATGCTGGGCAATTATAATATATACTACGTAGCATATGCATATGGAGTATGGTCACTTTTACATACATATATATGTATATAGGAATGTGGATACATATACATGTATGTAAGTATGTAAGCCATCACTGTTTCCGCATTCGACTGCCATTGGCTATAAACAATGGGGGCCCGTCAGCGTCTGGTTTTGGTTTCGGTGTTGCTGTCACTGGCTGTCTGCCCGTCTATGCTGTTGACGCCACTGACTCTGGCGGCGAGGGCATTGGATTGAGGTGTAAACAATCAAGCTCGTGGTCAACAGGCGGTTGACGTTGAACGCTACATCAGCGCTATGTATGTTTATACACTTTAAAAAATAATCTTATCATTTTTGAGGATCACCTTGAATCTTTTCTTAGCTGAATTGGGTCAGAGAGAAGTTGAACTGAGGTAAGGTGCCCACAAAATTAGTCGTAACATTAATTATTTTTATTTTTTCTCAAAAATTAAAAGGAAT